AGAGAGAGAGAAAGAGAGGGGGGGGGGGGGGGGGGGGGGGGATACAGCCAAGTATCTCTCGGCAACGCGGTAAAGTGACTCTGTCAGTAAAATAAATGTATACAAAAAATACTCTGTGCAAAAAGACATTTACTACTCACCTTTCCTGCTACTTGTGCCCTTGATCTCCACTGCAGTGAAAAGGATCCACGGGCTGAAGAAAACACAGAACCCGACACTAGCAGGAGTGTTGATTTCCTGTTGATCTGCCACTATGTGCTGTGGTTCCTCCCACTGGATCCTACTGAACTTCAGGACTCAATAGGTATAAGGATCAGTAGGTTGAACCAATGAGCACAGAAAACAACGAAACTGACACTCCCGAAAATCTTAAATTCTGAATATTGTTAGGCCAGAGGTTTTTCTTCAATACTGTGGAAGTTAGCGGTGCGGGCAGCAGGAGAGGTGAAAATCCCTTTATTTATACTTTTATTTTAGAGTCAGAGTTGCTTTAAACAGAATCCAGAAGATACAATGAGGTGAATTGATCAAAACTGGAGCAGACAAAATCTGGAGCAGCTTTGCATAGCAACCAATCAGCATGCACCTTTCATTTTCAAAGCGTAACTGAACAAACTGAAGAGAGAAGCTGATTGGTTGGCATGGGCAACAGCTCCAGATTATGCCTGCTCCAGTTTTGATAAATCCACCAATGTACTTAAAAAATGTAAGGAAAATATGTTTTCCCCGGTCTGGACAACTTGCTCATACTATCCAATTAGGCTTCATCTCTTATTCCTAAACAAGGTATAAGCATGATCACTATGGGCAAATTCTTCACTTTTGTTAAGAGACTTTTCTGACAGTTTTTAATAAAAGTTTCCTACATTAATATCAGTTGGTAACAACACCTGAACAAACATACAGGTCACACTGCTGGTGATGTCACTTACAAATAGCTTTATTCAATATGACAAGATGTTTAGCACACACTGCAGTCTCCACCTAGGCACCACCCTTCATATGCATTTCACCCAAATGGGCTTAGTCTACGGGTGCCTAGACAAGACTACACTGTGTACTCTGGATCTTACTGAATACAGCTACTCGGCAGTGCAGCCAGTTTATTTTTTTGGCTAGCACATGAAGCGAAGGTAATGTATGTAATGTACAACACATAATTACATAACAGAGTGCAGCAGTCAGGAGTAAGTGCTCTATTTCATTCGGAGTCAATTGTGAGGGCCCCCTTCAAGGTTGGTGGTCAGAGGTAAGTGTCCCCTTAAAGTATGATGGTCAGTGGCAAGTGTACCCTTAAATGTTAGTAGAAAGTGCCCCCTCAAACAATGGTGGTCAGGGCACCCTAAAGAGTTTGTGGCCAGGGGTGAGTACCCCTCTAAAAGTTGGTGGTCAGTGCCCCCTACAATACTGGTGTTCAGTGGCCAGTGCCTTTTTTAGCATTAGTAGTCAGTGCCTTTTGCAGCATTTGTGGTCAGTGCTTTCAGCAGCATTAGTGGTTACTGCCTCTGCAGCAGTGATGATCAGTGCCCTGTGCAGCATTGGTGGTTAGTGCCCACTTCAGCAATGGTGGTCTTTGCCCCCTGAAACATTTGTGGTCAGTGTTCCCATTATATTGTTGGTCAGTGCCCCTATGACATTGTTGATCACTGCCCCTATTAAATTATTGGTCAGTTCCCCTATGACATCGGTGGTCATTGCTTCCTGTATCATTGGTGGCCAGTGCTCACCCCCACCCTACCCCTCCCTTGGTGGTTAGTGCCTTCTATAGCACTGGTGGTGAGTTCTCCCTATAGCATTGCCCCAATGTTTTTTACAGATTGTTTGAAATCTTCAAAAAACATTGTAGCGTAAGGACAGAGTACACAGTTAATGTCATGAGCACAGGGCAGTCAGAATGACTGTGTGCAAGCAGAGATGTTGCTAGACCCGAGACACTGGAAACATGCCCCAGGTGTTGGGGTCACGCAACACCCGAGACACTGTCACGACAACAGTTAGAAGCCATACAAACTAAGCTTCAAGCTACTTAGATTATGTTAAAGTGAATGTAAAGGTCAAAGGTCTCCTTGGGACACTGCATTTCTGGCTGATAAACAGGTATTTCTCTGCAGTGTTTGAAAGAGATAAAACTTGGTGAAATATGCAGTTATTACAAAATCTATTAATTAAAATGCTGTTGTCTCCAGAAAAGGGTGCCCCTAAGCACCCCCATGTGATTTGCATGTAAATATTATGTATTCTGTGTCTACTAGAGCATTATGGCCGTTCAGGGCAAAGTAAAAGATTCACCTGATAGGCCACCTCTTTTGCTACAGATATTTACCCGTAAATTTTCTGCTGGTCTGTTTGCCATCTGCAAACCAGGGGAACCTTAAACAAGGTTTTTTTTACACACTGTGACCAACTATACACAGCACATGAACCAACTATAATGCTGCTCATAATATAGGGCTTAAGGAAATAAACTATATAAATTCTCATCTCACATTAATGTGAATATTAGCCATGACTATGAATTGTCCTATTCTATACAACCACTGTTGCAGCACATGATCACTTTTATATGTATTTCTGATTTAAAAAAATACAAAAATAAATTCCCTTTCTTCTTTCTTAAGACTGAAGTGTGCCAGGTGACAAAGAGATCAAATTTTCCCATGAATGGACAGTGGGAAGTGCTAACAAAGAAGAAGGGAACTGAGAATAAAGAGTGTTTTGATGCAGTCATGGTCTGCAATGGACATCATTTTGATCATTATTTACCTCTAGAATCTTTCCCAGGTAATTAACACAAATATTAATGATTGATACTTTAAAAGTGGAGTATGTTGCAGGACAGCACACAGAAACAAAAACAAACAAACAAACAAATAAATACACAAAATTAGAACACACCAGATAAACTAGAGCTGTTACTGCAGCAAAACATCTGATGTCTTGCTGTATTTAAACTATAACAATTAGTTAGTTGCATCAGACAGTTGCACCAATTTTTCTGTTGTTCTAGTTTGTGTATTTCTGCCCCATTACGCTTAGGCTGGGTTCACACCTAGGCGTTTTTCCGCGCTTTCGTACTCGCGGAAAAACGCTCAAACAGGGAAATGCCATTATTTTAAATGTGCATGGTTCCAATCTGGGCGGTTTTCCGTGAGTACGAACGTGCGGGAAACCGCCCTACGCCCAAAGAAGTACAATGTACTTCTTTGGGGCGTTTTGGTCAGGCGGTTCCATTGGGATACAGCCAAGTATCTCTCGGCAACGCGGTAAAAAAAACGCGCAGAACACGTGCATATTCAATCCGCCTAGGTGTGAACCCAGCCTTAGGCACCTGCACATAATTGGATTGCTTTTAGAATTATGAAAATGGGTGAAAGCTTGCTAAAGATGTATTTTGAGCCTTCACTTAGTGGTAAAATGCTAAAATATTTTTTTAAGCGGTTCAAATCCTAGAATTGGAAAGTGTGGGTCAAAATATCCAGTAGACTCAACTAATAGTTTATAGGGACAATCATGTGTATTTAGTGCCCAAGCAAAATTACAAGATGTTAGTTGGGTCCTAGAAACAATATTTTTTGAGGTGTAAATGTAAATAGGGTTGGTCACATCTGGTCTAGACTCTGCTTTATCATTTTGGGCCTAGGAACTTTCTCACCAGTGTATAATGCAGTAAAATAATGTTGATGCATATAGATCCCAGTGGTGAGATTGCTCTGGAGGAATGTTGTCAGGAACCTAGGTTCCTTTTCCACAATCTAAAATAATTAAAAAAAAAGAAATAAAATTAAACTGTTAGAGAACCACATTGCAACTCAAGTGCAGAGATCTTGCATTTATTTTTCAAGAGATAGAGGAAGATGGCAGGAAATTCAACTTATCATCATCTACCCACAATTTAAACTCAATTTTCAAAAATTCCCCCAGTAGCCAGCTATGCATCCAGATACAGCCTAATATTATAGATGCATTCATTCAATACTACATAAAGCTTAGACATGATGGTAATCATCAGTGAAAAACATGTAAAGCAAGCAGGGGCTTTATGGAGTAGGGCTTTGGAATGATGATAAAATGTAAACGAACATGCTATGATGAGGTGGGCCAAAAGGTAACAAAAATATTCCATTGAACCAGTGTAAAGCAGAGCAGAGCTTACTTTGAGCAGAACATGTGTACATTTCTTTTTCCATCACAAGTCTCAAAAACGGGGTTTATTCCCCATTTTAGGATAGTGAGAGGTGCCAAGCAAACCCTACTTTATGCCCCTGGGCCAACTCTACATCTAAAACTGTTGCTTTATAGCACAGATACAGGAAATGTTATTGAGCCATGTATTCCAAACTGAAAACAGCTGGTTCAGGAAACAGTGAAAGCGAATGGATGAAAGATACTTTTTCTTCCTGTGAGACTTGAATGGAACATGATATAAAGGTCAAAGTATTATTTGAAGAAAAAAAATAGCTTGCTTCCTTTTACACTTGGCAGGTATACAAAAATTTAAAGGCAGATACATCCATAGCCGTTTCTATAAAAAATCCGAAAATTACCATGGGAAGACTGTTCTAGTGGTGGGAATTGGAAATTCAGCTGGAGATATCTCTGTGGAAGTTAGTAGCAAAGCAAAACAGGTAAAGTCATTTTAACCTTTGTCAGTTAAACACATTCTGCCAAGTTTCTACAATCTGTCAAAGTAGAGATACTGTATGTTGTTCCTGAATTCTTCTAAGAAAGTGGTAGAGGACTCACAATCAGTCATGTGGATCTAAGTAGAAGCTATAAATAGAATTGAATAAAACTAGGTTGCAATAGCACGCTTGTGTTTTTCCCCTCCTCCTACAGAAATTATATCTATCACTATAGGCTGATAATTATATTGTAAATCCAGGTTACCTTATATTGATCGATATCACCATATCCTCCTCTCCTCAAAATATTTATGCACCCTCAGTCTCTCGTGATATACTCTGTCCCGTAAAACAAGCCCTTACTCATAAGTTCTAGTGATTGTATATGAGTGGCATCCCTGGCTAAATTCCACCATGCAGGGGACCACAGGAGGATCCTCCCCTATAGATATCCTCCATCATCCATACCATGTGTGGCTGTGCCATAAAGCTTTTCCCACAATGTGATATAATGATGCCATGCACGTTGACTCCATGCCACATATTGTGGCAGTGTTAAAATCAGGACTGTACCTGACCCACCTAGTTGCCATCCCTAGGTGGGCCAGAAGTTAATAGCTCTACCCTAGTTTCTCATGAATAATGTTTTCACTTGGTTTATAAGACATCGATCTCATACATTTATGGTCAATTTTATCAGATTCACCAGTTTCATGTTTATCAGTGTCTATACACTAATTTCTTCATCTTTGCCTAAGTATGTTTCCTTTCAGTATAGTAGAATATTGGAAGTATTTCTTATATCTTGGTGAAAAGGATATTTATAAGGATAAAGGAAATTTAACTATCACATTAAAGCATTTCTGCCAAGGAGTGAATTGGTAAATCTGGAGACCATATAAAGTCCAGCTGAAATATCTAAGTTGAAATCAGAGGCATCTGTAATTCACTTTCAATAAACAATTCAGATAATTTATTAAACTGTAAATAAGCTGCACATGACCTCAAGGCAAAAATGTGGGTAAGGTTAAATCTTCATCGTGATTAATCTAGGTCAGTGTACTCTCGATGAACCTTATGCAATCTACCAAAAAGGCCAAAGCAAATTTAGGAAACCAGTACAGGCGGTCCCCGGGTTACATACAAGTTGACTTTAGGTTTGTACTTAAGTTGAATTTGTATGTAAGTCGGAACAGGTACATTTTTAAAGTGTAACTCCAGCCCAAAAAACATTATTTCGTTTTGGATAGCATAGGGAAGGGTCACGTTTGTTTTGCTGTCTGTTCCCCTTGTTCAGAAGATTATAATATAATAAAAACATTTTTTTATTTAAAATTACACTAAAAAACATTTTTTCTATTTTTCATTTTATTTTATAAACTTCATTTTTTTTATTTGTTTGCATTTTTAATTTTTATTTATTTAACTTTTTTGACATTTCTTTGTCTTTTTAATAATTTTTTTATTTTTTAAACTTTTTTTATTATTTTAATGCTGGGAGCCATTTCCAGCCTGCTATTGGATATTGTAAAATGCAATAGACAATAGCAAGCTGGCTATTGCATCTGCCCACTGCCTGCTGCCAATCAGCAGAGGAGGGGCCTGATGGAGAAAGTTCTCCATCAGGTCCTCCCCTGCTGATTGACAGCAAGCAGTGGGCGGGTACAATAGCCAGCTTGCTATTGGCTATTGCATTTGACAATAGCCAATAGCAGGCTGGGTATAGCTCCCAGCCTGCAATGAAGAGGAGGCCTGGGGGCGGGACAGCGAAGGAGCGGCCGGACTGGGGCGGCGAGCAGATGATCGTCCGGACCGGGAAACCGACGGATTGGCGGAAGAGGAGGCCGGGACATCAGCGGAGGTAAGGGGGGCAGCGGCAGAATGCAACGGTCTGTGTCCCCGCTGCCTCCGCCAACACAGGAATGGAGAGCAGCGGGGACACAGGCCGCTGCAGCCACAGTTCTCCTAAATGTAATGGCGGCTGCCGGTACATTTATGAGAACTGTGGACCCAGTTCGTAAGTACGGATTGTCCGTAAGTCGGACGTCCGTAACACGGGGACTGCCTGTAATGTGAATTAAAAGTAAATCCTGCCTAACCGTGCATATCCATTAAATGCCTTTAACATTCTGTGGCAATAAAAAAGTTTTTTTTTTATACTAATACATGTTAATGATGTACTTACCATGTACCATTGTTATGTTTACACCTTGTATTCTTCTTGAAATGTTTGAAGTGCAATTCCACTCTTGTGGAGTTAAAATCTCCTCTGGATGATCAATCTGCATTGCAAGGGTTTTTACAAACTTTGTTGCAGATACCTACATTTTTTTTTCTCCTGAAGAAAAACTTGTCTGTTCTACCATGTCCTTTCCAGATTGATTCCTGAATGGGAGGGTCTGGATTTGTTATAACCATCTGGTGCACTCGCAGTGTTCTAATGGGGAAAGTTGCAGTGTCTGCATCCCTTAAGGCCCTTTTTACATGGGTACTTGTCCGCTCTTATCAGCACAAAATGGATGGCACTTTTGTGACTTTCATGTCCATTGATTTTTTTCCTACATCTTGCAATGGAGGTAAAAACTGAACTAAATGGACCCATGTTATGTGTATGGACAGCTGTATCTAAGCAGATATGTGTCTGTTTACTTCCAATTGCCTCTGATCATTCATGTTTAGGTCCCAAAAGAAGAGTAGGATGCAAACCTTTTTCTTTTTTTTGGAATTAAACAGACTTGATGGTAATTGGATGTAAACAGGCACATGTCCATTTAAACCTGGCTGTGCACAGGGTTAGGTTGTTTTCCAATCATATCTGCCTTTAAAACTGACAGGCAGATCTGATGAGTCTGTTGTGTGAAAAGGGCCTTGGTAGTAGATAACCCATAAGGAGTATCTTACCAATAATTACATCTCTATTGCAGGGGATGCCTACAGGAAAAATATATGTGCCAATCACACAAGCTGGAGATGTAATTTCTGTTGGAGGGGGGAGGGGGGTAACTTTTGCATTTTTGCGCACACATGTTGAAATGCACATTTTAGGCCTGAAAATTTGTTAAAGCCCCACAAAATTATATATTTTCTTAAAAAATCTGGAGAATACAATGGCATTGCTTACAACTTTCACAGGATATTAGCGCAGTTTATCAAACTGACATTTTCAGTAAAAAAATGCATCCAAACTTATTTTAGTGCACACAAACTCTAGACTTCCGTTTCGTAATATCCATTATTTCGTATTTCGTAATTCGTATCCGAAACTCAATTCGGATTCGTACGAAATACGGATTTTCGTTAGTTTCAGCACATTTTCGTAGCTTTACGAACATTCGTTATGATGAAGTTAAAAAGCAAAAATACCTTTGTTAATATTGGAGTCGATGTGGTAGTTGTTTTTGTATCCGAAATACGGATTCCGTATCCGAATTTCGTATTTCGGACTTAAAAAAAAAACTACCATCAACTCCAATATAAATTTACTTTGCTTTTTAACTTCAATATATAACGAATGTTCGTAACGGAACGAAAATACGTCAACGGAATTTCGTATTTCCTGCCTGTGTATTGTAATGCAACCCTCAGCAGCAGCGGATCCGTATTTCAGATTAAAAAAAAAATCTTGTCATGTTGTTCAACCTCATTTACAGGGGTAATATTAGTTCCTGTTTCAAAGAAATTCGGATCCGAAATTCGTTAACGCAATTTCGTATTTCGGATATAATTCGGAAACTGCAATTCGGATTTCGTATGCTTACGAATCTACGAATTTCAGGAAAATTCGTACGAATTTCGATTCGTAACGAAACGAATCGCACATGTCTAACAAACACAATATAATAACTAGGGATGGACCAGTACCGATACTAGTATTTGGTATCAATGCAGATACCGAGTTTTTGGGGGAGTACTCGTCAAAGCTGGTACTTCCGGTACTAGGAAGCCGGACGGCAAGTCATTACATTCTTCCCGGCTTCCCGATTGGCCGGGAAGCCGGCTCCATGCTTCCTCATTACTATGTGACAAGGGTGGATGGAGTCGGCTTCCTGGCCAATCGGGAAGCAGGGCAGTGTGTAATGACTCGCAGCCCGGCTTCCTGATTGGTTGAGAAGCTGGCCAATCAGAAAGCCAGGCGGCTAGTCATTACACCTCCACCAGCTTCCTGATTGGCCAGGAAGCCGACTCTTTGCTCCCTCGTCACTCAGATACCGAGGTATTGGTGCATCCCTAATAATAAAACATTTTTTGAGTAAAATATAAAAGATGAGGTTGCGTCGAGTCAGTAGAAACAAAATTGGGTGCACCCAAATTGTCTGATAGTATATGGGAATGCCCGTATTAATGGTTTATTTCCACCAGAAATGGAGGTATGTGTTTTTCCGAACCATGAATTACTGGTTTATGCCACCAACATACTCTTTAACCTCCTTGGCGGTATTCCCGAGTGTAGCTCGGGGTTACTTTTCCATACCCTGAGCTACACTCGGGAATATCCCACATTATTTACTTACCTTGTCCCTCGAGCCGTGCGGTGTCCTCTGGCCGGCGCCGGCATCTGTCTTCCGGGTTCCGTCCCTTGCGGGCTGACGCATCGCATGGGGGCGGAACCATCGGGAAATTCGAAAAAAACCCGGAAAAAACGTAGAAATAAAATAACGAAAAAATTCAGAAAAAAAATCGCGCAGAAAAAATTACGGAAATCAAAATAATCATACTGCCAGGGAGGTTAATCATATACTTGCAGAATGACATCTGGCTACATAACTGTTGGGAAAATGACATCATAATGAAGTCAGGGGCGGGAAGAGGAGTTTTCTATTTTCTACAATTTACATACTGTACTCGTCCCTGTTTAGAACAAATAATTACCTTACAATGCATTGCTTTATATTAATTGAAGTATCTGCTCAGTGTTCCCTTCTACCTAAATTAGCTAAGCCAGCTGATTTCCTTAGTGATTATGAAATAATTAAGAGGGGACATGTAATAATGTACAAAATGTTTAATGGTGATGGTAATATCAGTAATAAACTGTTTACTGTAAACTCACTAAAGAAGACAAGAGGCCACCACTTATAATTGGCGGGGAAAAAAAATTAGCCACAAAGTTTGCAGGGGATTCTTTTCTGTTAGAGCGGAAACATTGTGGAACTCTCATGCTTTAATTGTGACACATTTCCTTGCCTTTGGCGGTGTTTGCTTGATAGTAGTAACAGGCTTCTTAAACATGCTTATTTTTAAGGCAGTACCTTTTAAAGGTTTCATTACTGCAACTTTGTATGCATATACACTACCTGTTTCTTGCTGCATTGGAAATTTAACACACTTTTCCTTTAAAGAAGTTCGGTATGTGAAAGATAAACTGAGAACATTTATGTTTGTTTTAATGCCAATCACCCAGTTTACAATATTTCAGGTTTATCTAAGTACCAGACATGGCTCTTGGGTAATAAGTCGTATTTCTCGGCATGGATATCCAGTAGATATGGCCCTAGCAACACGTTACTTTTTCTGGATCGCAAGTCTTTTACCTGCTAACCTATTAGCCAAGGTGAATGAGAGTCAAATGAGCAGTTGGTTTGATCATGGCAATTATGGATTAGAGCCTGCAAACAGGTAAAAATCACAAATTAAGTAACTTTCTAATGGACTGCACTTTTCTTTTTATTTACTGTATCACTGATATAGGCCAACGTATATATATTTCCATCAAAAGCATTACATTGTGTAAGAGCAACTAAATTCCTGTTATTTCTGTAAAATAATTCATTTTCTTATGATTATCTTTCACATTCTACAGGACTCTGTTCAGAGAGCCCATGGTCAATGATTACTTACCTAGCCAAATCCTTTGTGGAGCTGTTAAAGTGAAGCCAAATATTAGTAGGTTTACTGAAACCTCTGTCGTCTTTGAAGACGGGACTGTTGTGGAAGATTTGGATGAGGTTATATTTGCCACAGGATACAGCATCTCTTTTCCATTTCTTGATGACTCAGTCATTAGTGTCGACAATAACAAAGGAGCTCTCTACAAAAATGTCTTTCCTCTAAATCATGAGAAGCCAACAATGGCCTTTTTGGGACTTGTTCAGCCACTAGGCTCCCTCTTGGCAGTTTCAGAGATTCAAGCACGATGGGCCACCAAAGTATTTAAAGGTTTGTGCTGAGATAAAACAGTCTGTGTGTTTTGTTTTGCAACAATGATGTTAGTTGCTTCCAGGTAAGAGATCATATTAAAGCTCAAGTATTATACTTGTTACTGCAGCTTATGGTACCTAAACAGGTTACAATCTGGCTGTCCAGTTTTCAGATATAGAATCTGAATGCTAATTTTGTAAGATAAGTAAAAATATACTTTGCAATGTGAACATGCTCTACTTGATGGACCACCCACCTGTCTACTCCATTATTATCAAGTGATAATATCCTTAACCGCTTGAAGACCAGGTGCTTAGACCCCCTTCCTGGCCAGGCCATTTTTCAGTGTTATGTCACTGGACAAGGGAAAGGGGGGAGCTGCTGGACATGGTATATCTTGCTGTAGATGTCAGTGATGTTCCTGGCAGAAAAAAAAGAGCCTTGAACTGACCATTCTTAAAGTGACACTAAACTTCAGGAGTTAAATGTTAAAAATGCATTCAAGTACCCGAACTATTGACAGAAATGTATCTTATTTGTTCATCCCTCAGCTGTAGATCCTAAGAGCTGGTTCACACCTAGGCGTATTGCATATGCGCGTCTGTCACGCGTTTTTTAACCGCGATTCGCGGTAAAAAAATCGCGCGACATACGCGCATTTCCGAGGGCTACTTGGCTGTATCCCAATAAAAACGCGCAACAAAAACGGCCCAAAGTAGTACATGTACCTTTTCAGGCGTGGGCCTTTTTGTAGCGCGTTAGGGACGGGCTGAAATACGCCAAGGTGTGAACCAGACCCATTGAATACAATGGGATTTAGATGTTTGAGCGTTTTGTAGAGCGTTCGTCGAGCGTAGAACGTGCTACAAAACGTTCAGGTGTGAACGAGGGCTATAGAAAACAATGTGATTTTAATGTTTGAGCGTTTTGTAGAGCGTTGAACGCGCTACAAAATGTACAGGTGTGAACCAGGCCTCAAATTGTCTCCGAATTTGTAATGACACTCTCCTTCCTTCTGGAGGGTGGCTACTTTTGTTCCCCATGGTCCCTGTGTGTGTTGTAAAGCAGCCACCACTCCAAGCTCACTTCTAGACTACAATCTCAATACAAATGAGTAAACTAAATGTGAGATTGTAGTCCATCAGGGAAGCGAGCTTGGAGCAGTGAACAGCACACACAGGGACCATGGAGAACAAAAGTAGCCACCCTCCAGAAGGAAGCACAATGTTAGCACAAATTCAGAGATGATGTGAGGATCTATAGCCGAGTGATACACAAATAAGATACATTTGTGTTAATAGTATAGGTACTTGAATGCGTTTTTTGGATTTAACTTTAACAAGGATTTTGCATGTTCTCCCTGTGATTGCGTGCGTTTCCTCCGGGTAGTCTGGTTTCCACCCACACTCCAAAGACAAGCTTACAGGTAAAATGGCTGCTGTCTAAATTGGCCTTCACATGTATGGATGTGAGATAGGGCCATTAGATTGTAAGCTTCCTGAGAGCAGGGACTGATAAGAATGTGCACTATGTAAAGTGCTGCGAAAATTGTCAGCGCTATATAAATACCTGTAATGAATAAATATCAAAGGGGTTGTTTTACCACCAAGGAAAGATTATCTAAGGGGTCACTTAATATATATAAGAATGTTGTCAGTTTCTGAGGGACCATGTTGCCACAGCAGCCATGTTATCAAGGTTCTACGGTCAGTTATAAAAGGGCATCTATCTATCTATCTATCTATCTATCTATCTATCTATCTATCTATCTATCTATCTATCTATCTATCTATCTATCTATCTATCTATCTATCTATCATACAGAGCACAGAGAGAGGAGGTGGTCAGGGAGATAATTCACTATTCTAAATCCTGCAGATGTGTGCGTAATCTGAGCCTATTGTGCTCTATAAGAAGCAGTTTTTTTCAGCAAAACAATTAAAATGAGCCTGTTATTACATATTTTTACCATTTAAATGTAAATATAATTTTTTCAACTAAGACTCTATATAAAAACAACTATGCAGTTCCCTTAAAGCATTCCAGATACTACGTTGTCAGATAGGTATGCTCCTATATTTCACATCCAACACAAACGGTTGTCATAATAACTGTATGATTAATATTTTGTCACAGGCACTGCTCATTTACCTTCTGTGTCAAAAATGGAGAGCTACTACAAAAAAAACATGGAACATAAATTAAAACGGTGAGTTAGAACCACAGAGCTGGTACTTATTTTGATTTACTATTCAATATAATATGCAAAAAAGAGATTTACCCTGACCTAAGCCCGGATGTAGAGTACAGTGAAATGCAAGACCCTGTTCTTTATTTCACTTTTATACACTAAGTAGTATAAGAGTATTTTGTGGTCATTTCTCAATTTAGCATTAAGCAGGTGCTTTTAGAAGAGATCCACTCCCTTGTCAAAACACCAGTCTAATGCTAGTACAAACAATACATTGCTGCTCCACTTCCCTACTCCAATCAAGCTCAAAGGAAATTTCAGTGCCATGCTAGGTTGTTGAATGCCTATATCAGCCTTTCTCAACCAGGGTGCCATGGTGTGCCTTCTGGCTTCCTCAGGGGTGCCTCCAAATTTTGTGGTAGTAAAACGGTGATGTGAAGGGGTGAATGATGACTGTGGTGAAGGGGATTCCTGATGTAAAGGGGGAACTCTGATGTGAAAAGGGGGAACTCTGATATGACAGAGGGACTACTGATGTGAAAGGTGGGCTCCGATGTGAAGGGGAGCTACTGATACAAAGAGTGACTCGGATGTGAAGGGAGGGGGGAAATCTTGATATGAAGGGTAAAACCCACTTTTTTGTGTATTTTTGCCTGGGGTTCCCCTTAAAATCTCTGACATTTTATACTGGGGTGTCTTGAGATTTTTTGCATACTTAGTTAAGAAACGCTGGCCTACATAACAGTAAAAGTGCATGAAATACCAGCACATATTTATTGATATAAATAGACATACAGCTCCAGTAGAACCAGCACACGAATACATTTGAGCCGAAACGGCCTTAATCATAGCTGTGATTATAGAGCAGACAGTGCAGACAAAGTTATATTTTAAAGAGATTTTTTAGAGTGACAAGGGCAGGAAATTATATGAAATTCCCACACTTTGCTTACTATACTGTCAGCTTTAGTTATGTCTTTCAGTAGGAAACTGTGTGATAATGCTCTAACTGTTCTTACATCTTTTGACAGTTTTGGAAAAAGCAGATTTCAGACACTACTAACTTTCTTTATCGACTACATGGATGAGATAGCAGTGGAAATTGGTGTGCGGCCTAACATACTTTTATTTTTTAAAGATCCAAGACTTGCTTGGAATGTTTTCTTTGGCCCCTGTACTCCTTATCAGTATCGTTTGACAGGACCAGGAAAGTGGAGTGGAGCTAGAACAGCAATCCTCACCCAGTGGAGCCGAACTCGCAATCCAGCCAAAACTCGTGTTGTTCAGAAGTCTACCGAATCTCAGTCAACAGCAAAAAAAAATATTGGCCTTTTTGGATTGGCAACAGCCATTTTGTTAGGTGTCTACTATGTCACCTTACAAATTGAGCAGCTAGAGTCTATAATATAACTTGCACTATGGAGTGAAATCAGCCCCTCATTATCCATATCTGTAATCTAATCATCTGAGTCTTTCAGAAGGAGTGGACGGACTGGTTTGCAAGAAAAAACGGCCTTGGTACAGCTTAGCAAAGAACAAATGTTATGTGGATTTTCTCAGGCAGAACACTAAACAATGTGATTAAGCTGAAATTGGAGAGTTTGGTGTAAGATCTCGATTCCTCTTAGCTGTGAATGCTACTGCCATGTTTAAACTAAATAGTATATATGTAGTGGGGCGATTTCTGACACGTAGCATTCCAGGACACCAAGGATTATAGCAACATAATACACTTCTTTATTCAAAAATATTGCAATTAAAAGAGACTCTCAATATTAAAAGGATAATATTTCCAGTTTTCAAAGTTCACAAAGTATAAATGTACAGTGTTATATTATAGAGATATATTATAAATACTGCAAATGAAGGTGCTATATTCGTCCAACAGTCCAACATTTTCTTTGGAGCAAAGTTCACATGAGCAAGTCCATGAATACATATTGTAGACTCACAGACAAAGAATGATAAAAACATGAATATTTCAATATATCCCTGTGCTTCAGAAGCAACCCCTTACTGGGAAATGTAAAGCATCAGGATCCAGCATACAGGTGTGTGAAGATTCCTGCACCACCACGGCTCAGCCCAGGAAGCCACCACCGCTCATCCATATCGCCATGAAATTCACTGATTTCCTGCAATTACATCATTGTTGTGGACTTTGAGAAGGATCTACTTCCTGCATTTCTGTGTCTTGTGTTGCAGAATTTAATGATAATGTCTGCATTCACACCTGTTTTTGCAGCTGCTGTCCTTGTTCAACATGAGGAGGAGTCAGGAGAGGCAACATAAGAGACACAGATACTGCATTCATCCTGTGATTGCAAATAGATAGCAGAGAGAGCAGTTTTGACCATAAAATATTCTCATATACCCATATGTCTATAAAAAGTTGATTTTTAGATGATCATGCTATCAAAAATCAACCCTATTTCCTTGTACTTCATTGATTGCTAACAACTTTTTCTTTAACAGTTTTATCAGGGCCTTTTCATAGGTTGCCATAGACTTCTAATGGCTTCACAGTGCACAGAAATGCAGAGAAAAATGGACATGTTTCATTTTCTGCAATGCAACATAACGCAATGCTTAGATGTGAATTGGTTTAAATGTGTTCCTATAATATATCTGTCGTTTTGCATTCTGACTCACGCACTGGAATATAAAGTTATAAACGTGGCCTAAAAATTGATTTGATCTTTTGATTTAGAGAATCTCTTGTTATTGTGATATTTTTTAATTAAAGAAGTTTATTATGTTTTTAGAATTCTTGGAATCTTTAATTGCTGATTGCCAAAAAATGCCCCAGTACATATATACCATTTTGTTTAAAGGTGATTTAGGGGTGTAACATGTATCAATATCAACTTTTCTTCTTGGCCCTCATGTAGCATTTTTTTGTAAATATTTTGTTACTCATATGTATGAATGTCCTTAAAGAAGACCAGCCACCAATGGACATCTGTAAAAATCTAAAGCTCCTCTCCAGAATCCTTATAAAAGTTCAGCCTTACCACTCCTGGTTTTGATTTTATAACTTGTATTTTCTCCCTTTAAGTGACAGCCTATAAGGCTTATCTATCTTCTGCTAAAAGCAAACATTAAAAAAACTGTTTAATAGAGGTGAATGTGATCAAAATAAGCTGCACCTGGTCAGTCAATTTTACTTTGAGTAAGTAAAAGTTTGTGTAGCCCCTATATAGATATTTCTACCTGTAAACAGTTAACTGCCTCTGTGTGTCCTGTGAGGCGGAGACTTTTGGGAGTTGCAGTGCAGAGCGGGAGACTGGGAATGCTGTGTGACATCTTTCAGACTGGAACTCCCAGAATGCTGTTTTTCTGAGTGGAGGTCTGGGCTGTAGCTGCTGAGCGCGCTCAGCCCGGGAGATCGCAGCCAAGAGGAGAGATCTGTGTGATCCTGTTGTGGACTGGGATTGTGAGTAACAGAGCTGTGTGGCTGCCGCTGACGTAGAGGGGCTCACAGGCATGAGTCATGAGGCAAATGAAAAGAAAATGAAGCTCTGGGATTTGCAACTTTCAAGGCAATTTGACAGAATCTGGGATATTTTGGGTGTATGGCTTAAAGAAAATCAAACACAAATATGTATAACACATTATCTGCATCTTCAATTGCTGGAATTATTATAATAATACAGCATTAGCTCTCAGGGATAATGTGCATTTCAGCTTTATATCTGTATTACCTCCTTGTCAGAAGTGGGGCATCAGGCTGTGGGGCAGGCTTAAGGTCTGGTTCACACCTGGGCATTTTACAGCGCGTTCCTACGCTCTGTAACGCGCTGCAAAACGCCCTACGCCCAAAGAAGTACAGGAGCTTCTTTGGGGCATATTTGCCGCGCGTATCCATTGGGATACAGCCAGGTAGCCCTCGGAAACGCGCGTTTGTCGCACGTTTTTTTAACCGTGAATTGTTGTAAAAACGCACACGGCACGCAACGCGCGACAAGCGCGCATATTCGATACGTCTAGGTGTGAACCCAGCGGTAATCTTAAAAACTGTCCTATGCCTTGCCTGAGTTCAGTGTTGATACCACACATTAAAAACAACTATCAAATAGAAAAACACTTTTTAAGATTACCTGGATAAAGGCGAAAGGCTTTATTAATAGACAGTTTTACCTCCCCACAGCAGCCCTGGATTTGTACCAGTTATCAGTCATTACTTTAGTCAGAAATCAGGTAAGCCGCTGTAGGTAAGTCACCTTGCAGCTGACATTTCCTCTGAGAGTAGATAATACAAGTGAACAACATGATACACATCTATCCATGAGAGGTAAGGCTGCACTTATACTAGCTTAAGATGAATGTTTTGCCAATGCCCATTCCTGCTGGTTCTCTGGAGGAGTAGCTTCACCGCTTTCCCTAGCATCTGACCTGGGCCAGCTGCAATGGAGGAAAAAGATAGCGGGGGCTTTTAGGGATTTAAAAAATATGCTCAATATGCATGGGATACAACACAAAGAAATCCACACTTGAAAGCTGGGTGGGCTCACAGGCCATTCTCCACCTCTAATTTTCATTTACCAATGAGATTAAAGCCTTGCACCTGTACTGCTATATTATGATTTTTGACTGGTTGTTGCCTTAAAATACCTTCATCTCTTTGAGGAATTGCACTGTCTTCTCACTTCAGTATTCTAGGTTGGCACATACGAGTTTTCAGTCATAATCCTCAGCACAAGCATTTTCAAGCAGACTTGTAATGCGAGGGGAAGGTGTAGAGTGCACTGGGCAGCATGGCTAAACTCTGAGGTATATTGGACTGCACAGTCATATTTATATACACGGTGCAACTGCTTTACCAGGGATTTGGAGTTAAGAGTATAAAAATGGATATTGTTAGTACAATGTATGTCTGACTTTGTCACTTTAGTGGTAGTGGTCGCATCAGGGTAATTTACACTGGTAGAAACTGTACAATTTTCTATTTATTTCTTCTTTCGCTACTTTTCTTTATATAAAGTTATGCATGTCGTTGTAATAGATTTTTGTTTTTGAGGGTTGGGCTGGAATATAGATGGAAAACAGTAAATTGTAAGTAAAGTAAATGCACATTTGTTTTAATGAGTTATTAATATTACTGTTTGGGAAATAAAAACATGTTTAAAAGCCTTTTTCCTTAAAGAAAAGTAACAGTTTAGTGGTAGATTATAGGAAATATGCACAGTGAAATGTATTTATATTTGTTTAATACACTAATATTAGTCATGATTATGTAAACTCTAGTGTGAAAAATGCAAGTCAGCTGATCAATTGACAACAATAAACTATAACGAGTTTAGTTTGCATCTAAAAATTTGAAATTACTTAACCTATCAACAGGCGGCAAAAGAATCTAAGACCAAGCCAGAAACACAGCAAGGAGAAGCAAAGGCAGAAACAATAACTTGACTACTGTAACAATCAAGGAGGATGCTTGATGAGAAGAAACAATTCTTGTTCTTGTGGCGCTGATTGTTCTGTTCCACTGGTTTAAAATAGCTTTTCGAGCTCCGTTCCATTTTCCTGGCCCCATGAGACGGAATTGATAGGGGCTACAAGGCCCAAAAAACACCTCCCATGCCAATTTGGGGTCAGTAATGCACAGAAGAGGAAGTTTCGGTTTGCAGCCAATATAGGAACTTAATTCATCCATGTAATTGACATAATCCGTTGACAATGTCTCACTTCTCCCAAACCTTAATAAATACATAAAAAAAAAAAATTAAAAACTAAAGAAAAAAATAAATGCCCCAAATGCAGTTTTGGACTCCTTCTTGCAGTAGTTTGTTACCTTTATATCAGTGAGGTGTGATACCTTCCATGCTGTTTGAGGCATTCCCCAGCTCCGCCCCCAGCACACCCCACCCCACCAAAGCCCCACCCCCTTCCGCTAAAGCCCCACCCCAGCTCGGTAACCAAGTTGTGTGGGGAGGAG